AAAACATTTCCCTATGAGGTGACAGTGCTATCCACTGCGCAACCCACAAATAATATGATTAACTACAGTAAATCAAAACTGTCACTTCACATCTGTCCTCTTGGCAGCCGCCAAAACAAAACAGTTATTTGTTTTGAACAGATTTACACAAAAGTAGACGCAACAAAAATGTTCTCTTACCATTACAATCAGCAAATCTGTCTACACTGCTCAAAGCTCTATTTGCCTGGTAAATTATAACAGAACCATTCTAGCTCCATCATGTTGCTCACTTACAGAATATGTCAGGTACTACAGCACTAGCAAGGGCTGCAATATCACGCAAATCCAATTTTATTCCAAATTACCACTTATTACTTTTTTCGCTTTGGTTCTGAGCTGCATTCTTGAGCGTCAGGCACACTCATTTCGCACCTTGTAGAGAAAGCATGCATCTGTGTATCAAAACTCACTCATTAGGCGCAGATGTTGGTACAGACAAACCTACAGACTCATTGGAATGACATTTAATTCGCAAATCAAAAGTCTGAAATTTGAAGATGTATTGAAAAAAATCCAATGGCCAGTTTACACCTGGTCAATTCATGTGTGTTCACTAAATATGTGTCTCCACTAAATGGATATTATTGTGATCTTCAAACCCTGAACTAAATGCAAAAATAGGTTATGTTAACTAAAACATCAGATGTGCCACATTTTATTTTTTGCTTTTGTTACAGAAACAGAAGCTTTATATGTTAAGCATAGAAATGATTTGATATCGCTATAGGCTTTTTACCTCACTTGCGTTCCAGTAAAACATCAGCACAAGCGTACCAGGCAGCTCCACGACTACTCATTACAGGCTAAATGAAACATCTATTTTTGCCTTACAGATACTCGCAAGACATCATTCAAAACTGTAAAGGGTTAGTATTAATTTGTGCATAACCTACTCTTCCAAAAACAAAGCACTGTGCCTTTCTAAATTCAATTCAAGTTTATTTAGTTATTTTATTTGTTATTTATTGCTTTTTTTCACAATAATCGTTTCAAAGCAGCTGCACAAAAGGTGCACATTGTTAAATTACATTTAAAATCAGAACTTTATAAGATGATGATCCCTTTAATTAACAGTTAAAGTTATTATATATAAGAATGGTTAACCTGCAGTTATATGGTAATATGGGTGATATCATTGTGTACAATGAAGTGTCCAATGAAGTGTATTTGTGTGTGTGTGTGTGTGTGTGTGTGTGTGTGTGTGTGTGTGTGTGTGTGTGTAAAAGAACACTATATTCTCAAAAGAATGAAATGGAAAAAATAAAACAAACATATCAAACTGTCATCTGTGGTGTTGCACGTTTCATTTTGTGTTATGTTATGCAGAAATGCATTGGTTTTTGTGATCGTTTTAGAACTTACAATTCTGTTGCCTATGGAAGAAATGACTAGGAATTAGGGCTGAACGATTAATCTAAAAGTTATCAATATTGACATTCAGAACCTATAATCAATCACATTTTTTCAGGACAATTTTTTTAATTACTTTCCCTACCGCATGTGGAGTCACATGATACGGCTGATTTATACTTCTAGTCGAACACAGGAGTATGGTCCGGCGCAGCCTTTGAGCGGTCGCATACAGGCACAGCTCTTGAAAAATGTATCTACACACTGAACGTTTGCATTACATTGACAATGATTGGAAGCTGCACCACTAATGCTTTGAGATGGCATATTTTCTATTGCAATAAAATTATTATTTACATTACAATATTTGTTTACAGAAGATTCAAGAAATGCACTATTTAAAACATTATATACAGCATATGCAAGAGTTATTTTATTTAGAAAAGATACTCTTGAAAACATTGAAAATAATTAATTTTGTTTCCAAAAGTCCAAGTTATTCGTTAATACTTTTATAAGAAAAAAAACTGATTGTTGGTTTTAGGCAATGTGTGTTTTAATTTCAGTTGTTCAACGTTCAATAAATAATCATAGATAGTAGATTGTGTGTGTGTTTCCTTTAAATATTTCAAAATCCAGTAGTGCACCCTTCATTCAGAAATCTCTCATGTGTAATATGTGAGCATATTTACTGTAGAAAAACCTATCAGTGAACTGTGAGGACAAAAAATAAATTAATGAATAAAATAATGGTTCATTAATCGTAATCGAGTTAAAATGTCCAATTAATCAAGATTTAGATTTTAGGCCAAATCGCCCAGCCCTACTAGGAACAATAAACGGCAGATATTGGTCAAACTACTTGCTCTATACATTTCATATGCGTTTCTGAGGGCATTTACATCTGCAAATCCAAAAATAGGATAGCTATCCAATAAGAAAACAATGCATGACATGACCAGCTGTAAACAGCCCTCAAGTGGTAAAAAAAATTTGCTCGAATTATATAAAGGTAACTTAGAACGGACAAAGATAAGCAGCACACAAATTTGTATTTAATTCAATGAACTTTGCACATATTTAAGAGTCAGCTTCCTTGCTCCAATCACTCACACGAACAAAAAGCAATCATCTTAAAAATAATTTAGGATGATATTGATTTGCCAGAATTTACAAAAAAAAGCATTGTTGTCCTCAACAACTTATATTAAAACTCTTAATAAATTGTTGTTAAATTGAATTACGATTCATAATTTCAATTAATCAGCCATGTTCTTTTGATTACAGCACTTCATCCTAACCATCAAAATGGAACCAACAAAAAAAAAAAATCAAAGAGTGAAACTTCATAGGACATTAATGCAGTCCTCAAAACCCATTCCAGCTGATTCAATGAGAGAGTAATTCATTTTAGATCAGCGGGTTCATCTGTGACTCATTTGTGAGTGGTTTGACTCATTTTAAAGAACTGGCTCAGAAGAGTCACTCAACCATGAGCTCACGACCCAGCTAAAACAATCCCTCTGATGTACAGCAAACACTGTCAAAATAGCTCAACATAGTGTTTGCACCAAAAATATACTCCAAACCACTAACACAATAATAACAACTGTTATCACTGTAAAACCACAAAAAAAAAAACTCCAGACACCATAACTTAATATATTTAAGCAGGCAAAGGACCGTGATTGTTTATGGTGTTCAAAATCTGAGGATGTAGTGAGAATAAATCCAAGAGGTCAAAGTAAAACTGCCTTAAAAGTGCTAAAGTTGAATTATTACTGAGTAAAGATAAGCAGGGCGCAATTTAGTAATTAATTTAATGAACTTTGCTGGCATTAAAGAGTCAGCTTCATTGCTCTGATCACTCAAGGACACGCTGAAAAGCAATCATCCTAAAAATAATTCAAGATGTTAATGATTTGCCAGAGTCTTTAAAGAGCTGATATTATGGTCCTCACCTACTTCCATTAAAGCTCTTCTCAAAAGGACGTATTGTCTTTGTTCATCAGCATAAGACGTGCCAAGACCCACCAAAAAAAAAGGGGAAAAAAAGGCAAAAAGAACTGGCTCGTGCTGCAGTTTCAGTTTGTGTCAAGTTTTATGGAGCATTTTAGGTCTTGGCATACACTGCTAATGTCAAGCCCATTTATGCTCACCATGTGTTAAGACACAAATCCGTTCTTACACTAGAGCAAGCACAATGACTTACAGTATATGATGCAGGGTAAATATTTTTATGCACATCGTAAAATATGCATGCAGCAATTTCCATAAGTCGGCTTAGTGAAAAAAAAGGTCTCTTTTGCAACTGAAATTGACATTTTTATTTTTTGGTTGAGGGGGTCCACATCAGTTCCAATCATGTTCATTATGTATATAGTATCTTGGTCAGGTAAATTACTGATATTGCAACATATACTACTACTAATGCTAACAATAATGCTAATAATAATAATAATAATAACAATAATAATAGAGATTAAAATGTATTTAATAAAATCAAAATAATGAAATGTGCTAGTGAAATTGTTAAACAGCACTATTATTTTTACACTTTATTATAACTATTATTATTATTAGCATTATTATTATTATTATTTTTGTTGTTGTTGTTTTTATTATAAATATAGGGCATCCCATGCGTAAAACATATGCTAGATAAGTTAGCAGTTCATTCCGCTGTGGAATGAACTACACAGAAAAAAATGAATGAATGAATGAAGATTATATTTGTGATATTATTAATATTAATAATAATGTCAATATTTTTATTTATAATAATAAAATTATTAATAATTTGAATAAAATTTATTATTATTAATATTATTATTATTTTTATTATTATAACTATTAATAATAATAATAATAATAATAATAATAATAATAATAATAGGATTAATGTTAGTAATAATAAATATGTAGTAGTAGTATTGATATCATTAATAATGTTAATAATAATAATACTATTAACAAAAATAATAAAACAATTACAATAATAATAATTATTATAAAAATAATTATTATTATTGTTATTGTTGTTTTTTGTTATTATTTTTATTATTATTATTTATAATATTAATATTATTAACATTCTTATTAATAATAATAATGCTACTACATAATAATAATAACATTAACAATTTATAGAATTAATAATGTGGATATTGCTGATAATTGATCTACTAAGAAACAACTAATAATAATAAAATAATAATAATAATAATATTATTATTATTATTATTTATTGCTGTGATTAAAGCTAATAATAATTATTAGTAGTAATGTTAATAATATAATAATAATAATAATAATAATAATAATAATAATAATAAACATTAATAATATGTAGCATTATTATTAATAAGAATAAGAATGTTCATAATATTAATGCTGCTAATAATAATAATAATAATAATAATAATAATAATAATAATAATAGATCATTTTAGGGACCTTGATATTAATTGATCTAATAAGAAACGAGTAGATAGCATGATTTTATTACATTCCCTGTGAAGCCCTAAGCACTTGAATCTTCTAAAAACCTTGTCCATGACCTTCTGTTGAACCACATATATCAGCTGTGAATGTGTCGGTATACTCACGGTCAGAGGTGTATTCAGCCTGTGTGGCCACTGCTGACGGTTGATGCTCTTCTTCTGCGTTAGTTACCAGCGCTGCGGTGCCATTATTCTGCTGTTGGGCTTTCCGAACGAGTGCTGCCAACGGGTGATCTGGATCAATGACCTGCAGAGGCTACAACACATGATAACATATGGTCAATGGCCTGTGCACTCTCCTCAGCTTTGTGTTTAAGTTATGTGTTTAAGAGAAGCCAATTCTGTTGAGTATAAACATTAAAAAACATAGTTAAACATCAAAAGTATGAATTATTCTTCAAATAATTTGTTTAAAATTGTATTTATTCCTGTGACTTAAGTATCTTCATTATAGTCTTTAGTTCATGATCCTTCAGAATTCATTCTATTATCATGATCTGCTGCACAAGAAACATTTATTATTATTAATTTTATTATTATTATTATTATCGCCGTAAAAAGCTAAACTATTGTGCTTCTTCATATTTTTTGTGTAAATCGTGATTGAATTGAATACTATTAAAATCTATTCAATTTTATTCACTAAGGACACAAGAAATTGTTCAAAGTGAAAGTGATATGAAATAATGTAATTTACAAAAAAAATGTATACTTCTATTTTATTTAAACTTGCTTTTCATCAAATTGCAAATTAAAAGCTTACAAGTCCAACTTCTCTATCCAACTGTACAGGGAGGCTCAACAAATGGCAATAATAAATGTTTACAAAGTGCTTTAATTAGCACAAGGATGAATATTACCAAAACCAACTACTGAAGTCTCTCTCTCTCTCTCTCTATTATTATTATTATTATTATTATTATCATTACTATTATTATTATTATTATAATTAATGGTAGTAATAATAATTAAAACCAACAATGATACATAATCATACATACAATAAGCAAGCAGACATAAAAAATTGTAATAAATATTTAACAATCTAACTTTTTTTTTACATTTAAATGCTGCCTGGATAAACATATGAAAACAAAAAGTGACCACAAACGTATAACCGGTAGTGTATACAGCTGTAGTCCTGATTATTAGACCCACTTTGTTTGTTTGTTTGTTTGTTTGTTTGTTTGTTTGTTTGTTTGTTTGTTTGTTTGTTTGTTTTTTTGTTTGTTTTTTTGTGTGTGTGTGTTTTTTTTTATTTCCCAAATTATGTTTAACATAGCAAGGAAATTTTTACAGTATGTCTAATAATAGTTTTTCTTCCTATTTGTCAGTCCTTTTTGTTTTACTTCAGCTAGAAGTTTTACATTTTTTAAAGCCATTTTAAGGTCAAAAGTATTAGCCTCTTTAAGTTATATTTTTTCTAATAGTATACAGAACAAACAACTGTTATACAACCATCTGCGTAATTACCCTAACCTGCCTAGTTAACCTAATTAACTGAGTTAAGCCTTTAAATGTCTTTTTAAGCTGTATAGAAGTGTTTAGAAAAATATCTAGTAAAATATTATTCACTATTAAGGCAAAGATAAAATAAATCCGTTATTAGAAATGAGTCAATAAAACCATTATGTTTAGAAATGTACTAAAATAATTCCCTCCATTATAAAGAAATTGGAGAAAAAATAAACAGGGGTCTAATAATTCTGACTTCAGCTGTATGTCCATACCTAATATCAGAAAGTTAAACATTTTTTATAAAAGCTTAAAATATTGGTGTCTGTGATGCAGCAAGTCTAGAGACTGTTGTGTAGTCCATGATTTTACAAGAAATTGACTTTAACGCGTGATATGACTAAAAAGTGGCCATAAATAAATATTTTCTCAATTCAAATGAGTAGCGGCTTGGACCCAGAAACAGTATTCCATACATTACAACTTAGGTGAAAAATCCTAAAAAAAAATAGTAATAATAAAAATAATATGTATCCATTTACACAGAACTATGAAGTCTGAAACCATTGCTAATTATAAGAATCATTATTAACCATTAAGACCCAATAACAGATATATCTGATCTGTTATAACATAACAGATCATAACAGCACAGCAAATCAGAACAATAAAATGATTTCTAATGGACATCAAAACTGGAGAAATCATGCTGAAAAATCAGCTTTGAATCAGGTGAATAAATAACATTTTAAAACTACATCCAATTAGAAAAAAAATAATTTAAACTTTCATTATATTTTACATTAACTTTCCCACTGAAATGTGGCACTGGTGAACAGAACAGGCTTCTTTTAAAAACATTTTTTTTTTTTTAATAAAGAAAAAAACACCTATTTAAAAACAAAAGGGAAAAAAGGAAATGTATTTGCAAGTAAAACCACATGACTGCTTTAAGCCTATAAATCTGATTTTAAAACCAGCCAGTATTTTTGTGTGGTCCCTTTGGAGGCAATTCAACATTTTGTAGTTCTTTTTTTCCAGGTAGCTTCCTGGCAAATCGGTCCAAGCTTCAAGCAGTGTTTGGCTACATTTGCTTCTTTCCCCAGTTCATATGAGGCAGAGCTCCAACAGTGTATGAGGTGGCCAGTAAAACACTGCAAGAATAAGACATCTAACACACTGGGACGTCCAAAGATTTCAAGTCTACTCTTGTCTCTCCCCAGTATTTCCTGCCACTGGATGTCACTCCATGCTTTATAGACTTCTGCATGCTGTCATCACTTCTGCTTGTTGCCGTCCTGCATGAACGCTTCTTTGCTTTCCCTGTGAGTCCACTTCTTTTTAGACGACATGCTGAACACGCAATTTCACTCGATTTCCTCCTGTCCCCTAAGGAGGTGACCTTTTAAGTACTTTCACCAGCTTTTTTTGCCTTCCAATACAATTTCTGTCTAGTCTCGACAAATGTCTACAGAGTACCATGACAGCACGTCTTTAAAATTCACTTTTACGGCTTGTTGCTCAGTGAATAAAAACGTATATTCTAAGATATAACATGAAAGTGATGACAGCATTTTTGTTTTTGCACTATTGCTCCAACACATGCTTATTCAGCTGAAAATTGCAATGTTAATTTTAACCACCAGGGGTGCTGTTTTACAATTTTGACTATCCTCTTGAATATTCATCACACCTGCAGAAATGATTCCTCAAGGGCTCATATTTCAAGCTTCCAATGAATGAGCTCTCTGGGTTTGAAAAAAAATCCTAGACAGCACGTATGAAATTCCATTTATTATATTCCCATTCTTACAGACTATAAAAAATGAATGAGAAAGGACAAAAGCATGCATAAGAATGGCGGTACGGCAAAGCCATTGATCACAGAGTCCAAAAAGTTTTGTTTTGAATGCATTGCATTTACCTAAGCATCTAGTTTTCTGTGATTGATTGAACATTGCTGTTGCAAAGCCTGATTATTTCAATATGTCAGGGAAGTCATTTAGCTGGCTAACATAAATGAGGTCTTGTGGAAATTACAAAAGTGATTTACTTTATTTTAGGGAAGCATAATTTAAATGGGTTGAAAAATGATAAACAAAGCAACACATGCATCGGTACAGCTGTAGAAAGCTTTGTTAATTAAAAACCTGCCACCCAATGATCGTAGATCTTATTATGTTTAAAAACATATTGCACTGAATCAATTGAATAACCTTTTTCTTTTTTCATTAAAACGTTGATGTGTTGATTTATATATTAACATATATAATAATATAGGTGCAGATTATTAACATATATGATAATATAGATTATATAATAAAAGAGATACTAATAATATATGATTAACAATTAGTGCTGGGCAAAAATGATTTGCAATTAATCGCATAAAATAAAAGTTTGTTTTGACAATGTATGTGTTTGAACTGTGTAGGCCTGGGCGATTTTGCTTAAAATCTTGATTTATTGAAAATTTTAACTCTATTACAATTAATAAACGATTATTTTATTCATTTACTTTATTTTCTGCCCCTATAGTTCACTGACAGGTTTTGTGCCGTACATATGCTCACATATTACAAGAGAGAAATTTCTGAATGAAGGAATTTTACTGGATTTTAAAATATTTGAAGGAAACACACACTATAATTATTTATTAAACATCACTGTTGAACAAATGAAATTACAACACACATTAACTAAAACCAACAGTCATTTTTTTATTATTGAAAAAGTGAAAATGAATAACTTGCACTTTTGAAAACAAATAAATTATTTTCAGTGCTTTTCATATTAAAAGTTGAAAAAAGCGGTATCTCTTCTAAATAAAATAACTCTTGCATTTCTTGCATCTTCTGTAAACAAATATTTGAATGTAAATAATAATTTGAATGCAATGGAAAATATGCCGTCTCAAGGCATCTCTGGCGCAACTTTCAATCACTGTCAATGAAGTGCAAAATAAGGCTCAATGCTCGTCCTACTAGACCAGAGATCAGATGTCGCTGCAAAGTGTGGCTAACTGAGTGGGGTCATGTGACCCCATATGCGACAAAAATCAGATTGATAAAAGGGTAAACTATCATAGGTACACTATTATAGGTTTTGATTACTGTTGGATTAAACGCCCAGCCCTAGTTCTGTTTATATTTATTATGCATATATAAAAACAAACATGCATGCATATATTTGAGAAAATGCTTAATTATATTTAGATATACATTACATAGATATGCACAGTTGAAGTCAGAATTATTAAACACTTGATTTATTTCTTTTTTCTTTTTTAAATGTTTCCCAAATGATGTTTAACAGAGCAAGGACATTTTCACAGTATGTCTGATAATATTTATTTTTCTTCTGGAGAAAGTATTTGTTTTATTTCGCCTAGAATAAAAGCAGTTTCAATTTTTTAAAAACTATTTTAGGGTCACAATTATTAGCCCCTTTAAGCTATATATTTTTTAAAAAGTCTATAGAAAAAAAAAACATCATAATACAATAACTTGCCTAATTACACTAACCTGCCTAGTAAACCTAACTAACCTAGTTAAGCCTTTAAATGTCACTTTAAGCTGTATAGAAGTGTCTTGATAAATGTCTAGTAAAATATTTACTGCCATCATGGCAACGATAAAATAAATCAGCTATTAAAAATGAGTTATTAACACTATTATGTTTAGAAATGTGTTGACAAAATCTGCTCTCCAAGAAACAGAAATGGAATAAAAATAACAATTCAGGGGAGCTAATAATTTTGACTTTAACTGTATGCATGTGTGTGTATGTGTGTGTATATATATATGTGTGTGTGTGTGTGTGTGTGTGCGTGTGTGTGTGTGTGTTTCACATAATATTACATTATGTATCAAAACAACTTTTATTTTGGATGAGATTATTTACGATTAATGTTAGCCCAGCACTAAAAATATACACACGTGTATAAAAAAAACATTTTAAACACCTAATATACGTCATTATATCCTTTCAAATTCAGATTTCAGCAATTTATTAAATTAAATGGGAAAATACTAAATAAATTAACATTGCCAAATGATAATCTTCTATAAATTAAATGTATTTTTTATCTTATCTTCCTAATGTTTTACTATCTGAAATAACCTGTTACTAACTGAAACAACCGCATTCTTGTTGTTGTTGCTGTTGTTTTTCTTTTAAAGATACACAAATGGTATTATATTGTCACAATTTTGTTAAATCTCAATAGATTGTTTGAATAAAATGAACATTAAAATATTTCAAAAATACTGGCATAGTGAGTGTAAATGTAGATTATCTTAACGTGCTATGCAAACCTGTTAAACCTGCTTCCATCATTTAAGAATGCAGGACTGGTTTCCTGAGCTATTATTAGGTTATCAATTCACCATATCATGATGTAAAAAAAACATGCAGAGAGATCTAAAAACCTAGGATAAATGTTAAAACACCTAAACTTAAACATTAGGCTCTTAAACATCAAAACACTCAAATTAATACATACTTTAACAACCACAGGCTAAACACAAGCTAAATAATTACACTGGCATTGGCTAAATTAATTAAATAAATAAATAAATATATAAAGTTTTTTTTTTTAGTTCATGATTGAAAATCTAACTTTCTACCATTAAGCCAAAAGCCGAAGATTTCTATTAGGAAACCAAATCAGATAACATAAGTTTATTTTACAAGCTTTTATCTCTGTTGCCTCTCAGTGGCACTCTCTTTAAAAAAATGACAGAGCAACTCAGATTAAACATACAGAATATTAGATGAAGAAATCAAAGCTATGATGAGAACTTCATATCCTTATTTGAACAAATAAAGAAAAAAAGTGAGAACACTTTGATGTCAGATGCTTTCATATCAGGCCCAGTTCTGTCAAGAAATAGAACAACTTAAGAGTAATTTGACATAAATGTATGGCTTTGAACACTTATCAATTGCATTCGAAATTAATGGTAATAATCTTTTTTAAGAGCTTAGTGTGCAGTGCATAACGGGGTGTAAAATTACACGTCATCTGTCTTTTGGCTCTTAGGAACATGTAATGATTTAGCATTTTATCCAAGGCACAAGGTTTGTCATCACATGGAGAATGTTTGAAACCATACCTTTATTATTTCCTCCAGACGAGAGCACTTCTTGGGTGCAAACAGGCTCGGGTGCAGGTAGTTCCCATCCCCGTCGTCATCGTCATCTGATTCATCTGACTTTGATTCTGTTTAAGAAAAATTGTTTGGGTTATTAACTGACAACTTATAAGATTTTATTGTTATTCTAAAAACAAATGAATTCAACTCTTGTAAAATATATCATACTCAAAACCATACATAAAACATAGTTTTAAACTCAGTGGAAAAAAGCCCTATTGTGAAACATTATTTTGACAGCAACTTTATTCTTTCTATGCATATTTAAAGTGCAGTACATGGATCACAGGCTCACACGATTTACATTTTGTGATTATATATATCGGTTTTGTTCCGTTTATATGTGATCTAAATCAGTGGTTCTCAAAGTGGGGGTCGGGACGCCCCAAGGGGTCGCGGGACAATGAAGGGGGGGTCACGTGGTGATTTCCAAAAATCTATATATTTTTATTAAACCATAAGAATTACCATTTTAATCCATAACCTACTAAAAAAATAGTCGTTTACAGTTACTATATACACTACTGTATAGTTAATATAGTAGCTTATAGTTACTAGTTCTATTGGATTGCGACCCCTCAGGTAATTACATTATACTAAAGACTCAGCAATAGCGTCAGATGAAGCAGATTGATTTTATAATACCAGGTTAAACTTTCTGGCACATTTACAGCACTGACATACATTAAAAAATATAACGAAGAATAGACTTGGGTGCGTCCCATTGCATGCAAGGTTTCTGTATTTATAACCACCTCAGAGGATATTGGGGGTCGCAAGCTACTGGCATTGTTAATTTGGGGGTCGCGAGCTGAAAAGTTTGGGAACCCCTGATCTAAATATTCACAGCTCGAAATGGATAGAAATAAGCAAATTGTGCTGTGTTTCTATGGAGATCCCAGTGTAGTTGCCATTACAGCCCATTGTTTTTTGCCCACCAGATCTCCGAATAGTTCATGTGACTGAAAACTATCAATTAAATACTTTCTTAGCTGCTTGCATGTGAATAATTGGCAGGTGCGCCATAAGATGCCAACCCCTGTAATAAACCGTACCCGATGCAAAACATACCCTGTTGCTGGTCCTGCTTGCCCTCTGAAGCCGGCGTGTATCTCCCTTCCTTCATAGCTCGTAGAATGTGCTTGTAGTAAGGGTTCAGGTAGTGGTCGAACCGCAGGAAATCAAACTGGGAGTTGCCAGCCTGCTTTGCCTTCAGCACAATCTCAAATTGGGCCCCCTGCTTGCATACAAAGTTGGCGGTGCGCTCGATAATAGCATGAGTCTTGGTGGTCGCAGGCTGAAATAGATGGCAAAGGAATGAGGTAAACAAGACTGACAATCCGAAATGGCTTCTAAGAGAACAGGGCATTTAAAGTAAATAAAGATTAATTAGAAAATTTGCAAAAGGGAAAAACTAGTATAGAACATTTATCATCAATGTCTTCAGGCGATTTCCAGCTACTGCAGTTTACACACAAACAATTTATGTGTGAGCGGCGCTTCATGAATCTAACCGGGGACGTCATTAATTCCTTTCCTGCAACACATGCAGATTTGAAAGAGTCACAAATCTTTCAGGCTGCAGACAAAATCATATTCATGTGCTGAGCTGATTTATGACGACGCAGTATTTTGAATGACAAATGCTTTCATTCGTGTTACGGATGTGAAAATGACACATATCATTCATTAGGGGAATAGAGTATGAATATTGCATGAGAAGAACTTTTCGTAGGCCTCCACTTGAGCTCCGGTGTCCAGGTAAACAGAGATTCTATTGCTTCCAAAGCCCCAGAGACCAAGAGATAGAAATCATGACTTGCTAATTCGAAGATAACCCAATGTTTGTCTTCAAAATCAGATCTTTTGTAGCTTCGAGCTATGTGCTGTACAATAAGCTAGGTAATCAGAGCAGCTGAGGATTAATAATTCACAATGCTCCTTCAAAGCACCTCACAGGCTTGAAACTAATTGGGGTTTTCAAGCCTGAGAAGCTGAAGGTTTGAACTAATCCTTCAACCTTGAAACGAATACGTCTCCCATCAACTTAAAATAGCCAGATTGAGGTATGTTGTTGCAACACTGGATGGGGAAGCATTTGTGTTGCCATGTTTCAAGTAAGGCCTTGGGGAAAGTGATGACAAATCCCTGGTCTAAGAGGATAAATGAGGGACATGGAGACTCCTGAGCTTTTAGAGAAGTATAACTTGGAGGGATCAACTTGCTTTCAGCTACAGGCACAGTAAAAAAGAAATCATCAGTGATTGTATGTGGCTTCCAAATGAGGGATCCTGCGGAGATAAAAGCCTGTGTCTGGTTTGTACAGATTGACGTTAGCAACCCACCGTGTGCACACGGCTTGTACAAAGGTATTCCTTTATAGCTTACAATCAAACTCTTCTGAATGGAAAAGAACAGAGAATAATCTTTATCTGCCACAGTTATAAATGGCCTCTTAAAGAGTGCAAATCTACAAAATTGAGGTTTAAATGATCAGACATGACATCCAACAACAAAAAACAAATCAACTACATATTTCATTCTAATATGCTGGGAAATGCACGCAGGGATGAACAATATATTTCAACCACACTATCTGAACATATATGGTAATAATTGATATGGATTGTGGACATTTAATAGCACATACTCATTTCCAAGATATTTTTTTCATCTCACTGACACTTAAAGGTAATGTTTACAACAATAACATATTAGTATTTTAATTACACTGTTATATGTACTCTTTAGCAATTCTAAAAATGAATATGCGTTCATGCTGTATGTTTTAATGGTGTCGTAATGCATAAATTAAATTGTGACATTGCTGCTTTTTTATTAAAAATGACTTATTTTGTAATGTAATGTAATGTGTATTTATATAGCGCATTTATTGTGTATGGCCATACACCCAAAGAGCTTCACAATCATAAGGGGGGGTCTCTCCGCACCACCACCAGTGTGCAGCATCCACTTGGAGGATGCGACGGCTGCCACAGGACAACGGCGCCAGTGCGCTCACCACACATCAGCTATTGGTGGAGTGGAGAGGCCGTATATTACTTGGTTAATCTTTTAAAACACTATTAATAGTTAATATGGATACCCCACATGAATACAAGTCAAGGATGAGACAGTTTTTATTTTTGTATTTCATGTATATCGTACTTTGAAAAAATACACAAAAGCACGCACATCACTCTAACTGGGTCCTCAGCCAACCAGCAAAAACTGCAAAAATATATTCAAAAGTGGGCAACACCAAAGCTCCAAAAAAATACCAATTATTGGAAATAAACAGTCTAACACAAAGCGTGTAATATTTCGAGAACACCAGCTCTTCAGGTTTGATGAAGAGCTGGTGTGCTCGAAACCTTACACTTTTGTGTTAGCCTTTTTAATTCCATTAATTGGTTTATTTTTTGGAGCTTTGGTGTTGCTGCCTTTTTGAATACATGTATTTTGTACATGAAACTCAACTGCAATGAAATGTACAAACATTTGTTAGAAAGCAAATTTAGTTCGGGTAAAGAGTCTACTTTAAAATTTTTGTGAAAAGAAAATGTCACGTTTCTGTAAAATAATGTCCCATCATTTAGCAGAATTGTCAATGTTAAGTACAAATTATACATGATGGGTAGGGCCAGACAGAATCTGCAGACATTTTTTGCCAGTTCTGCTTAGAATTTTGTAAAAAATCTGAAGATTTATGCAGAATTATTTTGGGAGTATCATAACTAAAAACTTAATCAATGAAATAAAAAATATTAGCTTTTTTACTTTTGTTTAATGTTTACAATGCAAATCCATCTAGATCCACTTATCTGGTAAACATATTATATAATATAACTACTAAAAGACAGAAAATATTGTAAAAAGTAAAATAAATAAATCAAATGAACACTTTCATATTAGTCAATATTATAACTCAAATTAATTTAAAAAATGAATAAATATAATATGCACATACATTTACACAATAAATTAATAGACTCAATGATGGGCCAAAACTTGGAGGTAATCTGCGGATTTCTGTGCGCGCAGATTCCGTGTGGGCCTAATGATGGCTAAAACCTAGTGGTTTAAAAAAAAAAAAAAAGCATAGAAAAGTATAAACATCTATTACAATTTATTAGTATTTTAAGAGGGTTTTTTTCCAGTACATCGTAGTGCATTTATTTATTGTTGTTCAAAATTTGCCCATCATGTTATCTTGGTAAGTGTTAAGGCTCATAAACACCTTTTCGTTTACGTTTATCGTCAGCGCTTTACGAGACGTTTTTACGGATTCAAACCCAAGCGATTTTCACTGGCATCAAGCAGAAGAGTATGCAAAATCAGTTCTTGATGTTAGAGGGCGCTACACAACTTTAAGCTTCTGACACCCAACTTATAACACAGAAGAAGAGAAAGAGAGAAAGTTCACACGCTTGTTAAAGCTACTGGTGACTCGAACAAGCATGGATGGGTCAAGTAGCATCTCTTGCGATGAAGAAATTATTATTGTTCACCAGAGCAATTTACACTAAATAACCTTACATTAAGTGGACATTTTCTTTTAAAAAGTATGGTTAAAATCTGATTTAAGTCTTTAGTGTTACATTTTAATTTACTTAAACATAATAATACATAAGCCATCAGCTATTTATCAAATAAATCTAAATTAACTGTAAGTTACTATCAACTGTGTACCAACTTTCAAATGAAATAAAATACAATATCGAGGTCAGAGCTTTTGCTAAACATTGTTTGAAATTAAATATCTAAAAAATATTTTACTTAGGTCAAACTCAACGATATTTCAGAGCAAAAGCTAATTTTCATATTTTGATTAAAGATACAACCTATACTTTCTGTGTTTTCACTTGCTCATTTCACAGATTCATTGTTGACTTCAAGAATAGGATTGTGCACTAACAAAGGTAATTTCGTCAGTTTTCATTTCATGACAAATTTAGCCGCCTTAACATCTTACTGGCCTTGAACAGAGTTTTAATATTGTACACAATTGTACAAAATGAGTATACTTTATAATGCTCACCAGCTCTACATCCGGAGGGATAAGGAGACCAGGAGGAGCCACAAACGGCTCTTCACTCTCTTCCTCCAGCTGCTCTTGATCTAAGAAGAGGGTCAAAGGCGGGAAAAAAGAAAGAAACAGACAAAATCAGATCGACAAGCCATAAACCACAAAGAATGAGAAAAAACACACACATCGAGAAAGAGCGAGAGATACAACCATGAAGTTTCTTTATCTAAGGGCACTTTAGAAGAACGCCACTTTAAGTATCATTTTGAATTACTCCAACTTTCAGAAACACAGCAAGCCCCATCAACTTTGCTTACCACTCGTGCCTCCATGCACTCTTCCAACCCCTGCCTCCGTAAATCGGCCAGGACAGGTTAAAAAAAACATTAAAATTTGATGTTGAACTCTGTGTGAAGGGAAATGGAGGCAGGAGATGGAATCACGTTGCTGGTGCATTAGAGCCAAAGATACAGTTAGAGGTAACTCAATTTAGTAGTTACAAAGTGCATATTACAAGCCTAATTTTCACTTAATTTTATGTTGATGGCTACAATAGACAAACCATCAATCAACCACTGTTTTTAGTTTTTAGGTTTAGATTATAGCATAGTAATGGACCACAAAATATATGGTTTCAGCATTGATATCGCAATGTGTGAATCTGCAATAGTCACATGCTTTTAATTGTATTTCTCCTAGCATATTAGCTTCTACACTTGCAAAGGATTTTTTATTAGACAACAAACTGATAGCATTGGTGTCCAATTTTCTATGCTCTAGAATCCAACAGGTTAAAATTGGAGGTTTTACTTGAGATAAAAAGTGTACTTCAGTTGGAGCCCCCCAGGGTTGTGTTTTATCTCCTTTGTTACATTTACATTTAGTCATTTAGCAGACGCTTTTATCCAAAGCGACTTACAAATGAGGACAAGGAAGCAATTTACACAACTAAGAGCAACAATGAATAAGTGCTATAGGCAAGTTTCAGGTCTGTAAAGTCTAAGAAGTATTAGTACTATTAGTATTTTTTATTTATTTTTTTTTTTTTTGTACAGATAGTCTGATATTCAAAGAGGCAATTGCAGATTAGGAAGTGAAGTGGAGACTAAATAGTTGAGTTTTTAGTCGTTTCTTGAAAGTAGCGAGTGACTCTGCTGTTCTAATGCAATTAGGGAGTTCATTCCACCAACTGGGCAGATTGAACGCGAGAGTTCGCGAAAGTGATTTCTTCCCTCTTTGGGATGGAACCACGAGGCGACGTTCATTCACAGAACGCAAGTTTCTGGAGGGCACATAGATCTGCAGAAGTGAGAGCAGATAAGAAGGAGCAAGGCCAGAGGTCACTTTGTAGGCAAACATCAGAGCTTTGAATTTGATGCGAGCAGCAACTGGCAGCCAGTGCAAACGGACTAGCAGCGGAGTGACATGTGCTCGTTTAGGTTCATTAAAGACCACTCGTACTGGTGCATTCTGGAGCAGTTGAAGAGGCTTGATAGAGTTAGCTGGAAGCCCAGCTAGAAGAGAGTTGCAGTAATCCAGTTTGGATGTTGCATGTTTAGATAAGAAGGATCGGATCTTTCTGATGTTATAGAGTGCGAATCTGCACGATCGAGCAGTTCTAGAAATGTGGTCAGAGAAGTTTAGTTGGGGTATAAATTTTATATACAAGTTCTTGTATATACAAGTTCTTTATATACAAGTTCTTGTATATACAAGTTATATACAAGTTCTTGTATAAATTCATTTAAAAATAGATATATTGTAAAGTATGCAGATGATACAGCTTTGGTGAGTCTTTTAAATGAAGAGGAGGAAGAATGCGGTCCGGTTCATGACTTCTTTTTAGACTGGTGTGAAAATTCAAACTTTCTCCTAAACATGTCTAAAACTAAGGGGATGGTTATTGATTTTAGAGAGAGAACACAAAGCAAAACTCCTCACACATTAATTAATTAATGGGGAGCAAATTCAGTTAGTAACAAATTATAAATATTTGGGTGCAATATTGGAAAAAAGTGGGATATGTGGTCTGACTGTGTAAGGAAATAGCTTCAAAAGAGAATTTACTTCTTGAAGAAACTATTGTCTTTACTATTGTTTTATAGTGCTTTTATAGAAAGTATTGCAACATTTTGTGTTATTTGTTGGTATAGAAATGCTTCTAAGGCCCAGAAGAGGTCAATGTAGAAGGTGGTAACAACAACCAGTAAGTTGTTGGGAATAAAATTAAAGTGCATTTATAGTATATACACACAAAAAAAGGAGTACTAAATAGGGCTCTCATCGTTGTCAATGATGAGAGACAGCCTTTATAATGCCCCTTCCAATTATTACAATTAGGTTGTTGATATTGTGTTCCTAAACATGTAAAAAATAGGAAAAATTATCATTTATACCCCAAACAATTAAGTTTTTCAATTTCTCCTCCCTCAGTAGCAGTTGATGGCCAGAAGACTGCATATTTATTTAGGGTAGAGGTACCATTTTTTTAAATGATTTATTTATTTAAATGCCAAATGTAAAATGTCAGATGTCTCTGTGAGTGTATGCTGCAAATGAAATTTCCCTACAGGGACAAATAAAGTTAACTAACTAATTGGCAAACAAAAGTTAACTAACTAACTAACATCGCAGGATCTGCAATGTGGACTTGGGATTGTAGTTGACGAGAACACCAATTTTCTTAGGCTTGCATGTGACTATGTAAAAGTTCAAATAATTAAACCATTTAGACACTAAAAATGATTAAATGTGTAGCTTCAAGAATAATTGCATTTAATTATTTCTGCAATGAATACTAAAGCAGTCAAAATTTGAAGTAGATCACAAAAGAATTTCAAAATTGACAATGACCATTATATAATGTGTAATATGTTTATCATATTTTATGCAGATTCACTCCTCTACAAAATCATCACAATTAATGTAAATCTATGAACGGTTTCCAAATATTATTATTAGTCATACTGTGAAATGCTATTCATATGGTGATATTAATTGCAGAAAAACAAAATATCACAATGTCATTATTTTCCAATGTCAAGCAGCCCTAATTGATTGGCATTAAAAAAAGGTTAAACAGAAAACACTGGAAAACTACATGAAATTAGTAAGCACAAAAATAATAAGCACACAATATTTCCCAGACATAATTCAGCAAATATAGTTATAAAGATCTAGTTCTGTTAGTCAACCTACAAACGATTTCTTTTTAACCAAAAGATTTTTCAGACTATTTAATATTATTTAAATCATTTACTCATCTGAAATTTCAAAAATTGTTGGTAACCAAACATTTGATGGTAGCCATCGACATCCACTTGAGAAATACATGATGATTACATTCAGCTTACTGGGTATAAACCATATTAAAAAATATTTTATTTTATGCTAAGTAAAAAAAAACGAAACTCCTATTAATCTAATTATCTTCACTCTTAATCTTATAAAGTTATGGGTTTAAGGCCAATGTATGCTCCTGCTCCAAGTGCCCAGGTGTTTAACAAGTGTCGATTCCTGTGGAGGAGCTCCAGATGGATACTTTTGTTTTGTGTTCTGTATTCTGTAATTACAGTTGTTCAAAGTTCACCCCATTTTTCTTTTCTTAGGCATGGGACGATAACCAGTTTTAATGTTTACCTCGGTTTGGAAAAGTCAAGGCTTTAAAACCATAAACTTTTTTGTTATACCTTTTGCATGTACTTGCTTAACATGTTTTTTTACAAGTATTTTATTTAGTTTTGTTTATCAACAATATTTCAAGGAGAAAATGGCCTTCAACTTCAAAAGCTACTGGTCAGCCTATGGTTCAGAAAACATTCAAAGGGAAAAAAAAAGTGGCTTACGTTATATTTAAAGAAACAAAAGATATCCAAAGATGCCTTTTCAAGTTGTAAAAAAATCTGTGTTTTTGAATCTTGTGAATATGTGTTTTCCAAACTTGCTAGTGGAGTGATAATGCTTCAGTTTCTGATTATTATTCATAGCTGAGTTTTCTAATCTAATGAGAAGACCCAGCTTCTTAATTATTCATGAGAGCACATGCAAGCACGAAGGCTGTGAGACCCTATGACCGTGTGAGGCCGCGTTCGTCTACAGTAAGCAGTGTTTAGCCGTTCATGAAGAGTCTTGCGTTATGGGTTTGTTTCCATGATTCACTGGGTTTTTTGCATGTTTTTCCCCACAATGCTGTCAGGACCGATAAAGCAAAGCTGTTAGTTTGCAGCAAGCATTTTGTCGAGAGCGCTGTACGTGAATTGGAGAACGGCATCCCTCTGCTAGCAGCGATCCATGCTATTATGAAGCTTTTTTTTTTTTTTTTTAATTCTAAAGGTAAACTTGAACCGAAAGATGAGGGTTTCATGGTCCTTTAAGAGCCATTTTTATTAATCCATCCACAAGCTGATGATACTGAAAACAGATAGGGTCTAAAACACTCTATCACTGATTTTAGAGGTAGTTCAGAGGTAAATTAATTTGATGGGATTGCTTTTTAATAGTTAAAATGTTGTGATGTTAAACGTTTAAACGTCTTTTCAAAGATTAGATACCATTGACCTGACAAATCAGCCAATTATACCATCTTCAAAAGCTTTCATTCTACCCGCCTACACTTGGATGCTTAAATCCCCTTATGTCAAGAAATCCTTTGTAAATACACTAGAATTATAACTAAACATTTTATTAACTTCATGAGCTTCTTGTAGATACAAAGTGGAACATTATCCTGTGTATTGTATACAGTAAGCCAATCAGATTAAAAATTAGCAAATTGAGATAGTACTTTCCAATTTCATGAGCAATTTCAGATGTTCGGTGAAGAGACTGTTGTGCTGTTTGAGGCTGATGAATGTAAATGATTTTCAATTGAGTGAATAAAAGCTGTGTGGATTACAGTTCATCACAGTCATGGTAAGAAAAAGACATCAATGACACTAGATGACTGTTTGTTTGATTGTAGTAAGTCAGTGGATAAGGACTGCTCGCCATGGGCCAAATGTCTTGTTCTCTACAGAGTGCTGGTGCGAGCAGGATTGAATGAGAGGCACAAAAGCATAAAGAATGATTACTGTTCATTTTAGAAACTCATTTGTCACTGTATTTCCACTCAAGACAAGCTCTGAGGACTCAAACTAATTCCAGGCTCCCGTGTTTATAAAGCAATCAGCCATAGAGAGCAATGTTTTTGCTACAAGCCTTCAGTGGTGAACCGCCGGACCCTGCTGGTCATTAGCAGTCTCAGCATAACCACAGCCTGGCTCGCGCACTCTTCAACAAACTTTAAGATTTTCAGTGCCTTGAGGCTTAAAAACGATACTTATTTGACCTAAGGGAAATAGCCTCGTTTCATCCCAGAGCATTTTGAAGTTCGTAGGCTAAAGTCTGTCTGAGGAGAACAGAAACTAGTCTCAGAAAGAGAATCTCCTCAGGCTGACTCGCGAGCAGCAGTTCAAAGTGAGTGTGTGTGTTTTTTGAAGTTGTGTGGTTTCTTGTACGGATCCCACCTGCTTCTTTGCTGGCCTCGTCTTCTTCAGTGGGCTGGGAGGGATCGTAGTAGTCTGCGCTGTAACGGAAGGCCACGGCATTGTAGGTGCCTTCATCTGCTAAAGCTTCACTCAGTCTTTTATACTCTTCCTCTGCAAATAAAAAAAAAAGAAAATTCACATGAACAAAAATCCTCGGCTTATCTTTTGAATTATCTGCAATGCTCAGCGTCCTCATATATTCTCTTTATAGTTCTCAACGATTTTATGACTGATTCACAATGCTGCAAAGTTTTAAAACTTCTAATGTTGGTGGATAGATTAATGGATTTATGCTGCAATTATAACTGTTTTTCTCACTGTTTCAGTTGGGTTAAAATATTGATCCTGCAAATCATTACTGCAGTAGTCTTAAAGAGAAACTTAACTCAAGTCATCATTTATTTAACCTTATGTAGCTTGTTAAACACAAAAGATATTTTTAAATAAGATTTTTTTTTTTATATATATATCAAACTTTGATACATCACATCTCTGACAGTCCTAACTATTAAAGTTTATTAAAACAATGACAACAGAACGGGTTTTTTTATTTTGGAAAAAAAAAATACACTTACTAAAAAAAGATTTTATTTAGCTTTCCACAATTTACAATTATTGTCTGGCTAGTTTGTGTCCTCTACTTGTATGCAAAAAAGACAACAAGTCCAACATTTCCGACCATTATCACAATAAAACCTAGAAAAAACAGGACATCGGTATATTGTAAACTGATAGGTTCAAATATTCTTTTCCAGTTATCAAAGAAATAATGTGTTACTTTATTTAGTTTTGTATCTATTAACTTGTTTTAAATATGAAATTGTAATTAATTCATATTCTGTAATTGTGAAGTTAAATTCTGTAACTATAGCAAACTTATCCCTCAAGTTTTTCTAAACTTTAAGAAAAACTTTCTTGCTTTCCCACTGCTGTTGCAATTTTAGCCAAGAATAATTGGCCATCGGGTTATCCCATGATCACGCATGGACGGATCTTAAAGATGTCTGTTTCAGACAAAATCTCTTCAAAGTGATTTCGTGCAAACTGTTCGCTCAAGTGTCAAAAAATGTTGTGCGCTCTGCCAGCCGAAATCATGTGGATTGCACCTAAAGCGAACCTTTGCAAACACTGCGATTACAACACAGTCACCACTCTCACTAAAGTGAACACGTCGAGTACAAATCAGCCTCAAATGCAACCAACATTTTTCAAAATATCTTCTTTTGTGTTCAACAGAATTAAAGAGTGAGTAAATAATGACAAAATTTTTATTTTGGGGTGAACTATACCTTTAAGTTACAAAGAAATATTTAACTTAAAACATTAAAGTGCTATCTATTTTCAGATTATATTCATCGTTCATGTTTTTGAAAAAGCAATCTGTAATATTCGAAAATATTACAAAGCTTTAGAATGTTTTCTATATAAAACTTAAAATGCTTCTATATATAACATAGTCCTTTGTGATAAAAAAAAATATTTTGACCCAAGGTTTACATCGTAATGAACTGAAATACAAAAATAAATACAATTAATTAATTCATATTAATCATATAATATTCTGTATTAAAAACATACCTCACCCACAAAGCCATTAAGAATTATCATTCGTATGTCTTGATTGGATTTTATACTTATGAAAACAGTGTATTGATTTACACATAGTAAGGCAGCACAATATATTGTTTTGGCATTAATATCGCAGTTGTGTGCATCTGCAAACTTTACATCTGCAATGTGAAGCCAGGGTTATTGTTGACCAGGGCTACAATTGAAATAAAACCTTTGCAGTAATTTACCAGAAATTGTATCATTTGAATGTAATTTTAAGATCTGTGACTGTGTACGCCAGTTTAAAGCATTTAGACACATAAATTTATAATGTTAATAAATATAAAAAATATAAAATATAATAAATATATAAAATATAATAAAGATTAATTATAATTATGTATAATGTCATCTGGTGAAATAGGTAATCTTAATATGCATCAAAAAAAAAATATCGCAATTATGAATCACAATGTCTGTTTTTTACAATATCATACAGTCCTAACACAAGCTAAAAATACATGTTGTTGGCATATCAAATGTTATGGCAATTCATTTAACCAAAACCAAAGCAAAAACAATAGCTTAACTAACCCTAAAACGACCTTCTGGAGGTTGCTTTAGTTCCCCTTTCATATTCACAACCAGTCTGTGCATGCAAACAGCAACAGTATGTCATCCTCTTTATTAATCTCACTACACGATCACAAATACTAAAACTGCAATAGAGCACAAGGACAGTTCAATATTAAACTATCAAAATGCTTTATTGCCGTTTATGGGATGTTAATGTAGACAGCTTGATAAAAGTTTAACGAGGTTGGGTTTTCCCCTCAAGGGCAAATCCACATGATGACTATAGAGATAATGACTACAGCGTACTGACACTATCAGCAAAGGACATCATAAGTCACTACCACTTACCGCACACCTCACTTTAAAGGCTGTTAAACTGCAAACAGAGTCGAGGAGCATCATTTTTGACTTTTTGAACCTGTTGATGCATACTGATGAGCAAGGACTAGGGTGTTGCATCTCAATCAGCTCTCCTGTTCAGTAGACAGGGCACTGATCAGGGTGTCAGCCATTTGAGGACTGTCTCAAATTGCTAAATTCCCTGAAAAGTCCCACAATGCAATGCAACATGAAAATCAGGGAGCATCGATGTGCACTTCTTTCCCTTAACAGAATTTTAGGCTGTGAATTTGATAACACATTTTATCATGATAATAAACATTGATATTGTGGGCACTGCAAAATACAGCGAATCATTGTTTATTCAAACTGGCAACACTTTACTTGAAGAGAGTGTTCATAAGTGTGTCATACCTGTAATCATGACATGACACATTTTATGCATGCATATGATAATTGTCATTCACTTAGGGCCTACTCACACTATGCCATCCGTACCGTGCCCAGGCCCGTTTCCCGGATCGTTTGAGAAGTGTGAGTGCGCTGAATCGCGCTCAAGCACGGTTCACTTGGTCGGCCCTGGCCCGGTTGGAAGAGGTGTGCCTGAGCGCGGTACACTTGGGCTTTGGCACGGTACGCTTGTGTGTGAGTGCAAAACGCGCCAAAGCCCGAAACCGAAAGCGAGACGTGACTTTTAAGGGACTGTTTGACATGGATTTATTAATCATTCTTACTGTTCAGTGTACGCAAACTGCCGTAGTTTATTAAAGACGCAAACTCCTCACAGCACGCCAGCTGCGCGCCTTCAGCAGACCTCCTCATTCCTGCAGCACGAGAGCTTTATGATTGTTTATGAGCGCCAAAAGTGGCAGATCTGTTCGGCGAAATATCTGACTGCGTGTCCCTGCATCCCTAAGGACTGTTTGGCGAAATATTTGACGGCATATCAAACGACTGAAACGATATAACTAGAGAAATCTCCCCTGTGCTACTGAGTGAGAGCGTATAGCAAGCCGTTTTAGCATTTAAACCTTGTTCTGACTATCCATAAATATATTTAGAGATATCTCTAATTATATTTTGACTAGTCATAATAATAATTCGACTAGTCAGAATGACAATTAGAGATATCTGCAATTACAATTGTACTAGTACAAAATCAGATTGGAGATATCTGCAAATATATTATGACTAGTCATATTCCTCCATTGACTTCCATTGAAAAATATTTGCAGATACCTCTAACTGAGTTTTGACTCGTCAAAAATCCAATTCAAGATATCTACAACTGTAATTCGACTATTAGTAAATTAATTAGAGATATCTTCAAATATATTTGTAAATATCTCTAAATATGATGAATTAAAGACATCTCCAAATGTATTATGACTAGTAAAAACTCAGTTAGAAATATCTCTAATTACAATTGTGACTAGTCAAAACTCATTTAGAGATATCTGCAAATATTTTTCAATGGAAGTCAATGGAGGAATATGACTAGTCATAATATATTTGCAGATATCTCCAATCTGATTTCGTACTAGTACAATTGTAATTGCAGATATCTCTAATTGTCATTCTGACTAGTCGAATTATAATTATGACTAGTCAAAATATAATTAGAGATATCTCTAAATATATTTATGGAGTCAGAACAAAGATTTAAATGCTAAAAAGGCTTGCCATAGAGAGCGCTTCTGAACAGCGCAGCAGCGATGACGTAAGCGTGCCGAGGCCCGAAATGGTGTGAGCGCGGGCCGTCGGGGGAGACGGGAGGGGGGACAAGCGTGCTTTGGCCCGGTTCGAGGCAACTGTACCTAGTGTGAGTACGGCCTTAGTTATGTCATTTTAAATCATTAATTGAGATGTATTTGTTACGACAATTTGACAAACAAATACGTCATAACCTCTCTTTGTCATGACAACTACTTAGCATTACCAACACAACATAACTCTGTTATAAACATGATTATAAAGACATCAATATTATTGTATCATGAATGTTTATAATCACTTTATGTCATTCAAAATTCACATTTAAATACTTTATTACTAAAAAATTTACTTTAAATATGTAAAATATTTTAAAGTTTATATTAAATATCAAAAGATGTTATAACATTTATAATACAAATAACTTTATAAGTGCCATTAAAATTTAGACAATTACATTTTGATGACAAATTCAATTTGTACCCCAGTCAACAAAAAAATACCAATGATGTTGTTATGAAAATCATGACAATCATGTTTATTACAGATTAATGATAAGTTATGTCAAGTTGTTTTGACAAAGACCGGTTATGGTGAATTTAAAAGTCAAGTTGCCATAACAAGACATCTCAAACAATTTCACTTTTGCATTTAAAAAGACATAACTTATCAAATGGCACTTGATGACAGCTTGCATAAAATTCCATTCATATTCATGACGTGTCATGTGATGCGTGTAAATGTTGCATGACAGTTTAACAAACACTCCATTAAAGTAGCGCTACTTTTGAACGTTTAGACTGCTTAGAGTGACAGGGGTTATGTTAATTAGCAATAGGCCTGTCACAAAAATCAAAATGCTGACTTATGGCACAACATATGTACATGACCTTAATCATTTCTGGTGATGCAATATATATCGCCCATACATAAAAACAATTCTAGCAATAATTTTTAGCTTATTGTGCAACATCTCTATCTCTGTTGGAGGTGTCAGTATGGTAAAAAAAAAAAAATCTATAGTTTTTAACTATAAATTACTTTAGTATTATTTTCATGTGGGTGTCTGCCAACTAAAAATAGATCTGGTGGCAGATATTGCAACATCTGTTATATATTTTTATATCTAAAATTTTTGTTAACATTTATTATAATTTATTAAGGATATATTCACATTCTGATTCTAATACTTTTTTTTTTAAATGCCTATCATTAAACTAAATATTCTTAAAAACAAAATATTATGTGTTGTTTGGAAGAGTGTACTTGCATTGTAATGATATTATATTGTCTTTCTGGCATTATATAATGAGTGGCATAAATTGGTCTTAAAATGACAATAATATCTTAATCGCAATATATAGACAAAAACAATAGATTTCATGACAAATAGTGATCGAAAAACAGATATTATTATGAGAATACTCAGGGTGACTTATAGACAGGGCCAGACGGAATCTGCGGACGTTTTTTTCTTTTCCTGCTGAGAATTTTGGTAAAAATCTGTGAATTTCAGCAGAATTATTTTGGGAGTATACAGCGGAGTATCATAACTAAAACCTTTATATATGAAATAAAAAGTAATAAATTATTGAACAAAAACTGAATAAATTCAGATTTACACATTTACTCAAGTCAATAGACAGAATTAATGATGGGCTAAAAATCTGCTGAAATTTGCGGAATTCTGCGGAAAATCTGCGGAATTCTGCGCGCAGATTCCGTGTGGGCCTAATTATAGAATATATATAAAGAATATATTGCCACACGGGTTTGTTTATTTTTATGTTGTTTAATCAGTTTTTATCTTCTTTTTCCACAGCTAGTAGTAGTTGATGTCTTTTACATGGTACCCTTTAGTTTATAATATATAAATTAATATTTTCTTTTAATATACAGGATGTTTATTGTCTCTCGGTAGATCCAAATGAATAATTGTCATTAATGTTTAACTGCAAGCTGTAGTTGAATGTGGCAAATTAGATTTTGAAAAACATACTTCAACAAGAATATTCCAGAACAAGCTTTAACCACCACATAATAAATGACATTTGACATACTGTACAGGAGCCTACCTGGTGACGTATATAACAAAATGATAATAGATCTACATTGAACAGCTCAGCTTCTTTGATTTATTCAAAAACAAACTCAGCAAAGTCAATTTTACACTCTTCGTAGTGCACAAACAAGCACAAGTACCACATTCACATTCCTTGAAATGCAATACAATAAAAAGGATATTAGTGGAATGCACTTAAAGTCTGACTGCACCAGTCAATAACCATGAAAAGAAGGTTTTACAGAAGAGCACTGGTTGTAAACCTACAGTATAGGCAAAACAAAACCAATGGCAGGGGTAATCATTTCCAGTAGAAACAGCGTTTCCTTTAGGATAAAGAGTGCCACTAATAAAGAGCCAGTTCATACTTTCATGCATTTATATCTGCTTCTCACTGAAAAAGTCATGAAGACAATGTTTCTTACAGTTTTTAAAAAACAAAAATCACACTTTAAATACAGTGAGTCCGAATATTTGCAATATTTACAGTTGAGGGCAAAATTATAAGCCCTCTTTTTTCTTTTTTTTTTTTTTTTGAAAAAATTCACAAGGGCTACTAATTCTGACTTCAACTGTAAAATTTATAAATAATAATAAATATATGCAATTTATGAATAAAAATGCTTGTTTTTATATACTGTATATTTGCTTGTAATTCACTTTTATTAAAAAAATCTCTATTAAAAGTAATATCACAGTTGAAAAAACAAACAATAATGATAATAATTATAAATTATGTTACGGTAATACAGTTGTTGTTATTTTTTTTGTCAATGACAGCAAAATGAAAAATGTGCACTGTTATGATGATAATTTAAATTTCTGCTCAAATATAAATTTTTTATTAAAAATGTGAATTATTTATGACAACATTTATTACTTTTGCGATAGATAACTCAGAAAAATAAGATGGTTTCAATCTGGCTTTGCCAGGAAAAAAAAAAAAAAAACAAACCAAACCAGCTATGACTTGAGAGTAAACCTAGGGCTGAAGGGCTTGTCACTCCTAACCAACTGCAAAGACTTAGTTTTAGTTTTAATTACAGTTGACTGCATTGTCACCTCACAATGTTTGTGTGTCAGGGCCAAAGACTACACCCAACAAGCAGTAGGTACAGTCTGTGCTTACGTAAATAACAGCTAACAATAGTCTGCATTCTTCATTCAAAAAAATAAATAAATAAAACTTAGACTGCTTATACAAATAAAGTAAACAAAGCATCATTTGCATTTAGTAAATATAATTGTGCTGAAATGCTCATGTAAGATGGCATTTTAGAACAGCCTTCAGTGGTGTGTTATTATGCAGTGACTCATTCTCTAAACTAAACAGCCATTAAGACCTCTCTCCAGGACATAGCAAGCATAGCATAGCCAGACATAAGGCCAGAACATAACAAGCAGACAGTCGGCCATCATACACCAATATCAAGAGGTGTGCATCATATGGTGTGCACTATTCTCACCAAATGTTTTTTGGGGTATTTTTAAACATGTTAAGTTGGTGCCTTTGTGAATATATTCATAACGATGAAAGTCCTTTGGAATGAAGAAAAAGGTGTAATTATTTTCATTAAAAGTAACAAGCAAATACCGCTTTTCTTTTTACACATTGGATATATGCAGTCCTACTTTTTTTTACAAATTAAAGGCTCCTACACACCGGGACATTTTTTGTTTGCGTTTATCGTCAGCGTTTTAAGAGACGTTTTTCAGTGTTCAAACCCAAGCGCTTTTCACTGGCGTCAAGCTGAAGAGTCTGCTAAATCACTCTTTTAACGTTAGATGGCGCTGCACAAGTTTAAGCTTCTGACATCCGCTTATAACACAGAAGAGGAGGAGAGGAAGTTTGCACATTTGTTTATAAAGTTACTGGTGACTCGAACAAGCATAGATCGTTCAAGCAGCAGCTCCAGCTCTAGCGATGAAGAAATTATTATTGTTCACAGAGCAATAAGCTGCTCCACGTTCATATCGCCTCTGGGCATCTTCTTCAATGTGCGCTCGCATTGACAGTTTTGTGCTTGAGCGCCTCCAAGTGCTGTTTACCGTAACTTCAGCAGTTTTGTGCACATGAGCAAAAGTGCCAATCTGATTGGTGGAGAAGGTTTTGACGCCGCACGTCAAAAAAAAAAAAACGAGCATGAGGCGTTTTTTTTTTTAAATGACGCTTTTGCGCCTGCCGTTTTGCACGTTGGTGTGCACAATCACATTGACGCCTTTTATTTAGTTACGAGGCTTTAAACGTCGACAGAAAACACGAGCAAAAAACGTCTCGGTGTGCACAGACCTTAAGACTGCTGATTATAGCACATATTTACAGCAATTTACTCTCACAAAATGCATTCCATTGCTGCTAGTTGGCTGTAGTCTTTATAGGCTGTTATAGGGTTAGTAAACACAAAAATAAAAGTTCTGCAGTTATAACTACTTCCCCTTGTGTCGATTAAAAAATATTTATTAAACATTTAAAATATTTATCTGAGAGCTTTCTTGTTCTCCATAGACCGCAATGGTCCACAAAAGGAACCAAAAACATTGGCAAAACATTTCATGTGACTTCAGTGGTTTGATTGTAATCATGCAAAGCTCCAAGAACACTTTTGTTTGGAAAATATAAAAACTGTAATAACTTCTTCTGTTGGGTCTGTATTTATTCAGGGTTCGCATTAGGACTGTCACAATACTTGATTTCGGTACCAATGGGTAGTAAAATTTTAAAAACGTCCATTTCCCACAAACATTTGAGCGCCGTTGAGCCCATTCTTAAACTATGCTGATTTGCCATTGTGTTCACATGCTCAAAAGAAATGACTCTGATTGGCTGTTAAGGTCATCTGGACACCAAATTCACAACTGTTGATACAGATACAGGGACACTAGAGCGTTTCAAAGTTGCATCAATCAGCTGGTTTTTCTATAAACTGACAAACGAGTGATCCGTTGATGAATCACGGCTTTAAAATGCTCCAGTGCCCCTGTATCTGTGGTTACACTAAGTAAAGTGAAGTAAAGGGCAGAGTTTGGTGAACTGATGACCTTTACGGCCAATCACAGTCATTTCTGTTGAGCTCATGACACAATGGCAAATGAGTGGTGTTTAAGAACGTGCTCATCATCACTCAAATATAAGCAGGAAATTGACATTTTTAAAATTACAGTACTGATTGGTAAAACAAATGCAACCTGGTGACCTGACAAGGGAAGGAGATAATAGACAAAGAGATGTATTTCCAGGTAAAAAAGTTTTTAAAAGATTATATTATTATACATGATGATAATGTTTTTAGTTGCTTTCCAGGAAATTTGCTGTATATATGGAGGATGAACCAATATCCTCTTTCTATAGTGAACTAGATACAACCACCAGCACTGCAATCTACATTTACTTGCTTAGCAACGTATTAATAATGAGGCGGGTGCATCTCCAGTTTGTAATTAAGGTTCAGTTAATACACTGTGAGGGGGGAAAACATTTCTCTCTATTATAGTGAGCTGCATTAGCTTGTTGTTGTATGCACTTGTTGCTGCATGAGACGTCATTTCACATAAATACTTGACAACACCTTCAAACTAAAAACAACTCTGATAGGTCTTGGTAGTTGATTTGGGCATGTCGGTTTCCATAAACAACATCTTCGCCAATTCAACATTCTCAATGGGACAAAAAATGTGTGGATGGTGCACACCACACACAAGGCCAATAGTCAGCATGGTGTGCTAGTGCCTTAGAAAATAAAGCTAATTAAAAAACAATGCTGCACTCCAGCTGCCACAAACTCCACATGCTTGAACTATGCATAGAGATTGACTGAACTGATAGACCGCTGTGTGTTTACCTTGCCTGGCCTCTTCTTCTAGTAGGTCGGTGTGCATAGCCAGGTACCTCTCCTCATCGCACAGAGCCTCTATCCTGGCCTCCTCCTCGGACAGCTGGTAGTCGTGATTCCACGAGCCAGCGTCATATTCCGAAAGATCATGTAAATGACCACGCCCATCATACCTGCAATACGAATCACATGATTAAAGGCGAGAGGAAATTAACATTGGATTACCATGCAACAGATACTCACCAAACTGGAGAACCCTAAAAGTAAAGCTTTTTGTTTAAATATTCACATCTATGCCCTACTTTCAAAATTCTACTTGGCCTACAAGGTTTGCGTGAGAAGAACTGAACAAATGCCTGGGCGGCAAAGTCAGGTGGCCTATACGACGCACTCAGCAAATCAACAGATGAGTGCACAATAAATGTACTAAATCACTATGACGCAACAGGTCTGAGAGTAAAGAACGAATAAATAAGCAGAAAACGCAAACAACTCTCCTCTTACCTTACATGGTTCAACAAACCATTCCAACTTACTGAGACAACTGGCATCATCTTTCCTACATTTACTGTAAAAGAAGTACATCCACACAAACCCGAGCACATAAATACCTATCCGTAAGAACCCATATGGAGGAAATTTTCCTGCGCTCGCTGCTGAATTCCACTTCTCAGTTCCAGTTTCTTCGGCGAAAGAGAGAAGTGGGCGCTGAGGTGGCAATCGGGGCCTGGCGGGACCCCTTAGCCTTAATTGCTGAGGAAATAAGTTTGTATTACGTGATAGAGAGACACACACATACACATCGGAAACAAGAAACAGATCCATGCAGATTAAGGTGGCTCAATGCAACCTCAGTTCAACACTCCTGGTTTGTTATCAATTTTACATTTTTTTAAAGGACTTCAGCTGGAAAAAGTGTGGAAGAAGAGAGAAAACACATATAAACACAATATCTCATTACATGATACAAACAATTCCTGCAAAAGAACAAGGTTAAACTTTGGATCTACACAAAAAGAAGTATTTATAGAACAGGATTAAATTCAGACCACATCATATTTGAGAACCACCTTAATGCACGGACTAGCAGGTAAATCTGATGCGAGTTTGCTGTGGTTTGCATTCAATCGTTGAATGCAACACAAAGTGACCACAGCAAATTCTCCAAGTGTCAGGAAGCAGAGTCCTTACATTACTCAGAGATTTGTTCAATATTTTGATTCATGTTAATTTGTTTTAATATTGAATTTAAATGGGTCAAAGATGAGAGGAGAGATCAAGCAAGAAAAAAATGCAATATAGCTTTAATTTTTTTTTCTTATAACACAGAGATGCCCAAACAAGTAAAAACAAGGAAACAAGGAAAGCGCGAGCAAGTGGGATGATGACGTCTGCTGCTACAGAAGTATTAATAGACGAATTATGATTTTAAAAAAGCATGTCGATAATGAGAATATTTTGGTTTCAAAGTCACAGACACCACAAAAACAGGTCATTTGTAAGGGCTGTCGCAGAACTGTTGCCAGCAAGTTTAAACTTAATTTAAAAAAAATGTATAGCTAATCATATCAAAATCACAAAATCTCAAAAAAAACAAAAATAGCAATTAGATATTTTCCCCAAATCGCACAGCCCAATTTATGGCATATTAAAAAAACTATATTAATAGATCACTGCAGGCCCAACACACTACTTAATTGTATTTATTTATTATTATTTTTTTTTACTTTATCACTACCCTTCAAAATACTAGTTTTTATCCATTTGACTGCAAGAACTTCTTAATTATCTAATATATATATATATATATATATATATATATATATATATATATATATATATATATATATATATATATATATATATATATATATATATATATATATATATATATATATATATATATATATATATCAGTTTGAGAATATATAATTTTACTTATTTCCAGGCAGAAAAAGTAAGTTTTTGGATTTTTACATAAATACATTGGTTAAGGTTATAGAAATAAAATGCCGTTTTACTCAGATTTTGACATTTTATTTTCCCAAGAATGCTTTAAAATGAACAGGGATACAGGGATATACAATATGGTAAACTTTTATAAATGTACTGTTGAAATTTAATTTTATGTCAATATCAAAATGAAACTCCACATCTTCGACCCATTCAGACACAATCAGCCAATGCAACTTTATAAATGAGAAAGGACTCTGCCTCAGATATTAAACATGACCAGCCTACACTGGTTTGTTTGTCTTTCCGATTGTTTTCCATGGATCTGGTAATGTTCCAAACCACCTTGATCAGACTGGAAAACATATATAAACAATAAGACCAACAAACCACCGGGCTGTTTAAAACGTCTTATTAAAACCATTAACGGTGTTGTCATTGCATTGAGCTTATAAAAAAATCACAATCCAAGCAAGTTAACTTAGATATATCAATGTCGTTTCTTTTTATTCACGTTTGGCCATGTAAACATCACATAGTGCCCATCAGCTCCACCTCTTGCGCTGCAAAACAACATACATCCAAGGTCCCTTTGGAAGACATTAAGTTGGTTAAGTAATAATTCCCATTAGGTTTGTTTAACCGACCTATCGATCATGATGTTCTTGTCCCCCATCCATGGGATAAGGTGTTTGCCCTGATCGTGGTAGAAGGCCCTCTCATCGTCCCGGAACAGCTTACAGGCGTAGCCGAACACCAGCAGCTCCGCGTACTTGCTGCTGTCGCTCTGCTCCTTCGTCGCATTGTTTTGCTCCTTCTTGCTTCCCCCGCGCCGATACATTCCAATATCCACAGGACACGCCAAAATAAGTAATAGGCTTTTAAAAATGTATAACCATTTCTTTAAAGGCGGGAAAGGCGAAGTATAGGTCTGCTAGCAATTGCTAACGTTACATCACATAACACACTGGTGCTGAATCAAATATGGCGTGTTGTTGTAGAAAGTCGCGTTCAGAGTCGCAGATTCGTTACTTTTTATTTATTTGAAGCGAAAGTAGATCAGATTGTTTGGTTTGTAAAGACATCTGGATATGATATGCGAGCATTTTATAATATCTAGATATTTTTGTATGGATGTAGTTTGAAAAATATGGATATGTTTCTTATTTTTGACGAAAAAGTCGACTTGAAAATGAAAATATGGCAGAATTGACTTGAAATGCTCTCTACATAGATCAGTGCTTTGGCTCTTTAAGAATTTTGCTTATTTAGATTTTTATTTTTATAAAGAACTGTATGAATGATCCTTACTATGCTGTACTGTATTTATTTTACTGTAACTGGAATTTGTAAACGAGAACATCAGTACTTTGATAAACATTTATTTCACCTTGTGCTTTTCCATCGCTTTAGGCTTTATAGAATTTTTGGAGAGTGTAGGCCTATATACTTTAAAATATTATTATTATTATTATTATTATTATTATTATTATTATTAGCTGTTGAGGTTTTAAAAAATAGCTATGATGCTTCTTCTTTTTGATGTTCATCTAGTCTTTTGTAAATCATTTATTTAGCCTAAATCTTATTTTAGTTAACAAATAAGTTTTAGTTTTAGCTTTTTTCCCTGAATGTCTGCTCGTAGTCAGTAAAGTGTTTAAATGAGCGGTATAGTCACTGCTATGGATTATTTAGTCAACTCAAACGACTGTATAGAAGTTAGAAAAAATACCATTATTTGAAAAAAAAGAAAAACAATGCAAATGCTGTTAATCGTTGTTACTGATTATTTTTAAGGCGACACGATGGCTCAGTGATTAGCACTGTCACCTCACACCAAGAAGGTTGCCGGTTCGAGTCCCTGCTGAGTCAGTTGGCATTTCTGTGTGGAGTTTGCATGTTCTCCCTGTGTTGGGGTGGTTTCCTATGTGTGCTTCAGGTCCCCCACAAAAACATTCACTATAGGTGAATTGGGTAAGCTAAATCATCAGTGGTATGACCCGGTCCTCCTGGTTGGGGGTTAAGTGTTGGGCTAATGACCCACCTCGTAAAAAAATTATATGTTCTAAAACACTTAAATGGTGTGACTAAATATCAACTTCGATATAAATGGCCCTGGGAGTAAGTAAAGAATATAAAACTTTTAAGTTTAGTCTATTAGTCATTTTAAGCATTTAAGTTTTCTATAATTAAACATTTAATTTAATTAAATGAAGAGACCACATTTGGTCAACTCAATGAATTTTCCATTACTCCATCAACTGAGGAAATCACTTTCCTCAAATCATTTGAGTAGTCTCAACGTATTAGGGTTTACAGCGTGGTTGACTAAGCCAAAGGTGAATGAATGAATGATTTTTTTTTTTTTTTTTTTTAAAGAGGTCTATGGTCCTTTCAAAGAGGCCAACCTATAATGAAACACAACACCCGCATCTTTAAACTAAAACAAAGCTTCAGCATTTTCGCATTGTTTCGCTTTTAGGATCTGGCAATGCTGGTTAGTGAAGATGCTATGTTTAGCATACCAAACCTACGCCTTTAAAACAAAAACACGCTAGTGTTAACAGTATTTTAGTTTCTATATTGCTAGCAAATTTCAACGGTTTTAGTTTAAAATCTGTTACTGTCAATTATTGTGTAAGTACACATAAATAGGGTATATGCACAGCTTATGACTTTTTGAAATTTTATATTTTTCCTTTTACAGCATCGATTGTGTAATCAGGCACAAATATGTGTAATCAGGCACAAATATGGCTCAACCTATACACTGCACATCCCCTTTTTAGTCTTGGATAGAAAGTGCCATTCCAAAATGATCTGAAGTGCCCCCAGCTTGTCACATGTTTTTAGTGGCTGAACTTGTTTTGAAAGCATGTATTTACTGAGTCTATATTTATCTCATCAGAAACAACTGTTGTAAACTTCTAAGAGCCCACAAAAAACCAGGGAGAATCTTTCGGTTGTCTTCAAAGCAGAATCCTTTTTAATAAGAGGAAACTCAGCGTGGCTGTGGCGTCATCGAAAGCAAACTCTCTACTCCACAGCAAAGCAATACATTTTATACATCTTACAGCATGTAGGTGGGGTCAGTCATGGGGGACAGTAAAACAAAGCATGCAAATGAAGTCTGGGTGCCATGGTTGCAAATGAAGTCTGGGTGCCATGCTGATCTCATCAATAGATAAGTACATCATTACAACAATTTGCAAATGATGTTCTGGAGACAGGGAATACAATAGATACAGCCATGCTGTGAAACCATTAATTACATCACTTTAGCATACAAATGAAGTCTGTAGTCAGCAAGGCAAGGTTAAATGTCCCTCCTATATGGCACGTCAATGCAATGATTTAATTAAAAAAACCAAAGAAAATAACTTTTCAGTTATACGTAGAGTATTGTTCATTTGGAATTAGATGCTAGAAATTTATATTTCCACAGTTCCCCCTTTGAGAGTTATAAAAAAAACTCTCACAATAAATAAATTTATACACTGAAAAGAAAGTTCATTCTTGTAACGTATTATGGTTACAGGCGCATACTACTTGCTCAGTTTTTACTGTCTATATTTACAAATGACATGTTGACACAGGAACAAACATGCCGCTAAAATCCATGGATTTCTTATAGATAATATTCTGTTCTGGTTGGAACTGTCATTTCTTCGTCATGGGCGTGGGTCAAATGTTGAGTAAAACATTTGATACTGTGGATGCATAGATAGTACAACAGTAGGAAAAGCAATAGAAGAATAGCTATTTCCTTGATCCACAGCCAGGGTTTTCCTAACAGGTTTCCAAACCATGAAGAATTGTCTTCAGTCATCCGGTGCAATTTTACTGAAAGATCAAGTATGTCTTGTTGAATTTTGTTCAAGTTCTTGGTTGGATCCATTAATCCGGTGCAACACTCTGGGCCTATGATGGTGCAAGCTCCCCCTTGCTTTGCTAGAATGTAATCCAACGCCACTCTGTTCTGTAAGATCATTATCTTGTGTGAAGCAAGAGTGTTTGTGATATTACCCAGGGCAAAAGCTGTATCATTGGCCAGTTTCTGAACAGAATTTGATAAGCTTCTGACTTGATCAAGGGCTTGCATCACACCATAAGAAGGAATTATTGCTCCAAGAGTTCTTGACCACCATGTTTGTGCACAAGTGAGTCCTGGAATGCAGCCATCTTCTTCCTTTGTGGTGGGAGCGGAGTTATGCAGATGTAGAGAGCTTGGTGTGGCGTGTGTATTTTCTCTGATAGCTGGTAGAACGTAGCCCAATGTGCACCTGCCATTGAATTGGCTGGGAAGGATGTCATAGGCTGATGTTCCACATAACCAAAAAGTTCCTGTTGGTGGAGGAATCATGCACCACTGATTCACTGCGAAGAGTTTTGGAAGAGATCGTGTCCCGTGGAGACATGCTTCTAAATTCTTTTCCCTTATCCCTGCTGATGGGGTAATGTCCACATGGGATCCTGTTCTCATTTCAATGACAAAGTTGCATCGTTCGCGAGGAATTTTACCCAGTGGAGTTGAGGATGGAGCATTATTTTCCACGCACCAGGAAAAAATTATTGGCAGTAGTAAATCTGTCATGATGGGAGTTGCTGAAGTTAGGTTGCAGGATGGTAATCCAGGAATGCAACACGGAGTAGCTGGAGGAGTTGTGATGTTGTGACATGTACTCTTGTTGTATATTCCACTGGTGTGAACTCCAAATAATGTACACGTGTCACAGTTGGACATGGGGTGTGCCACCCAGGGGATTCCTGCTCCTACTGAAGGTGGGTGTGGCATGCAGATGTTCTTTCCAGCAAACAAGGCATTTCTTGACATATTCATCAGCTCTAAGAATATGTTGCTTCGTGAGTCGATGGCTTGTGCGATGTTCATGATGATCCCTAGTACGGCAATCTTGATCATATTGATGGATGACTGAAGTTCCTGTGTGTGGTTCTCTGCGTTGTGTTTTCTTCTGTGATGGTTGGTTTAGCAGTGGCCTCTTGAAGGTTGTGACTGGACTTGTAGGTGAGAAGGTTGGTGTCTATGGTTCTCAGGACAACAAGTTGTATCTGCACAGAATAAGAAGGAAACAAAAGCAACGAAACAGTATTTGTGGCAAAAAAAAGGAAAAAATAAAAATAAATAAATAAAAGAAAAAAAAGAAAAAAAGGTAAAAATAAAAAGTAAAAATAAAACACTAGTTTTGTATCCTCTGTTCATTCTAATTCTGCTATAGTTGTTCCTTCTTTCCCTATTTCTTAATTCCCATGACACCTAAAGAACAGTAAGGTTAGGATGGACTAATAAATGGGGGGATATTCTATTGGGATGTCTTCGCCCAGGGGTGGCCCCCAATCCCTAAAGGATCAGTTCTTCCCTGGGTACCCCACTGTTCTGTGTGTCCTATCCTATCCCTGTAGGTGGTGGAACAACTTTGCAATGTGAGACATGTGTCCAAGTTTTTCTTCCCTGACACAACACTGCAGCTGCTGTAATCAACATCACTTGATGTGGTCCAAGCCACTTAGGCTCTAATGGCTTGTTTCTGAATGATTTTATCATGACCCACTGACCTGGGATGATTGTGTGTCCACCTTCCGGTGGATTCTGCCAACACGACACAACTCTCTCTCTGGCATTCTGTACAGACTTGGTAAGGTTTTCACAGTAAGCTATCAGGGCATCTGAGACGATGTGCACATCAGCATTTCTAAGATCAATTACACCTGGCATCTGCATTGGGCGTCCAGTAATAATCTCATGAGGGCTCAGTCCTACTGATCTGTTAGGTGATGCTCTCATACTACATAGTACCGCTGGAAGTGCTTCAACCCATGAAACTCCTTCCTGATGCATTTTGCTTAGCCTGGTTTTAATTGTCCTATTAGCTCGTTCAACCTGTCCTGATGCTTGTGGCCTGTAGGGGCAGTGAAGATTCCACTTAATCTTCAGCATTTTAGAAACTTCCTCGACTACCTGTCCTGTGAAGTGTGTACCCTGAT